GTGTAGCTCACGCTGGACGTGAGAGCCCACGGGATCCTTCTGCTTCAGCATCCCCGGGGCTGGGTTAGGAGGACGCAACAGCACGCCTGGCTGCTCCGGTCTTCTTACTGGATGCGGTGGGCTCTTCCCCTGCGTCGCTGTTCCAAAGGGGGTCACCAGTCAGCTAAGCCAGTTGCAGTTGATTCGCCATGGACAAATCCCCGTGAGAGAGCGTCACAAGTCCAGGCAAGGCCAGGACACAACAGAAGAGTGAGCGACCCTGCCGTTGTGAGAGGTGAGAAATTCGGAATCAGGTCGTTGGCCTCACGGACAAGACTTCCTCATACTGTATCTCTTGACTCACTCATTCTAGGCCAAGAAAACACGTGCCAAGGAGAGTCACATGACTGATGAATAAACGTACTTTCTGGTGTTGAGGCAGAGAAACCTCAGGACTTCAGACTGTAAGCACCTTGTGTTCCCTCCTCAAAAGCTGCAAATCTGTCTTTCAACACTTCAGTATTGCTAGAAGGAACTATTACCTGGAGTCCTGCGACCCCCTTGGTTACCGTCTTGTTTGGCATGAGACGTGCATAGGACGTTAGTAAAGCGTCCTGCTGGAGTGTCTGGTTGCATCGTGGAGGGGTGTCGTTTGGAACCTCATCTTTTCCCTCCCCCTTCCTCTGCGGCACCTGTTTTGCTCTATTCTTCCTGGTTCTCAGGTAGCAGTTATGTTTCTTCATTTCCTTCCACTGTGCTATTTCTCTGTTGAGGTCAAGTAACAGCTGAAATCAATCTCTGAATGAGCTAAAATAATCTTTTTAAGTCCTGTATGTCATGCATTTTGTATTTACAACAAAAAAATCATGAAAATTAACATTGGTTGTCTGAGCAAAATAAACTGCTGAATGTGTCAACCCTTGCTCTATAAGTTTACGTAAATAAGTTATCTCTCTGAGTGTTCTTCATAGATTTTCTTCATTATGAACATTATTCAGTGTGATTCCAGCACCTCTTTGCGGATCGAAACCACTTCCCAGAGAAAGCACTGTGCCGAGCAGTAAGAATCTCTGAAACAGCAAGAAGTCAGTACAGTTGGTACATGTGCCAGCTGCTTTCCGTGGCTCTGCAGCTTTGGCTGTCACTACCCTTTCTAGAGCTGTTCTGAGCAGGTGGAGACAGTATCCCAAAGACATCTGCAGCCCAGGAGGGCCCAGGGGGACAGGCAGGATGCTTCCTGTTAGGCTCGATCTACCTCTCAGCTTCAAGTCACTGGACTTAAGGCTGTGCTCCCCTCTATTTTTTTTCAACTGCTTTATCCCGCTATTGGTCAGTTATGATGTAACTGAATCAAATCTGTGTATTTAAACCAGGAGTGTACTTGTTTTCTTTCTATGCTTATTAGTGAAGAAGAAAAAGACAATTCTAGGATATTGTATAGAGATTCAAAACATGCAAGAATTACCACCTATTCAAAAATAGACACCTTGGTGACAACTGTGTAGCTAACTGAACGTGGATTGTCCACTTTTTCCTGTATGTTGTTGCTTCCCTCACCATTCCAGTTGGATCTTGTCACAAGATGCTGTATTCATAAGGATTCACATACACTTTTTACCCTTTTAGAACAATTTTTTGATCCTCTCACAGCACAATACACCCATCTAGCTATTTCTCTAGTCAAATCCTAATCATTAGTAAGTACCTCTCCATTTCAAATAGTGTAGCTACCTTAGGGTTTAATCTTCTTGAGGCTCAATTGCAGTCTTCTGTTTTAATTGTTCCTTTGAAATTCTGTCATGTTGAATATGGTGATATTTGGTGTGAATGCTAGGGACAAATTTATTGTGGCTATTTTGCAAAGCTTGTCACACCAGAGGAACTATGAAAACTCTTACAAACATTGCAGCACTGGATCATAATTTAGGTTTTTGATAGAATAAATTGAAAGCCCTTTGAATGGTCTTATATGAAATTTGTGTGCTTTCTCTAATAGTAAGATTATTAGTGGCTTGGGAACTGTTAGTTTCTTAATAGAGAATAATCTGAAATCCATAGAGACCAAATAATGTTTAATTACTGGAATTTGTAAAAATAAGTTTTATTTGTAACTAACAACTATGATGAAAGGATAAGAAACATTCCCTGGACCTGTACAAAATGGATTGAGATTGAGTTTATAATCAAAACAAAGAATAACATAAACAGTCATGTAAATATACCTTAAAGTTATTTACTTATAATGAAAGCTCTCTTGTTCATTGTATGACATTTAGTATCATCTGTGACCCATCATCACAAGATGCCAGCAAAACCCACTCCCCCTCTGTCCTGAGAAAAAAAAATCTCAAGATATATCAATATTTTGACAGCCATTGACCTAACAACTACTTTGCGTGCCTGATGTAGCTCAGTAGCAAGACACAGAATGGGAAAAGATGTTTGGGCTCCTACCAAACCTGGAAGAGGTTTTCATTTCTCCACTTCTACAACTCAAAACAGGATGGATAATTATTCCCAAATTTTTGAACTCTCTGCCATTGCATCTCAAATCTTTGTGGCCTATTCCATATGGTCTGCATAATATAATGTGGTTATATTATGCTGCTTGTTTGGGAGCAAGTTGCTCAGTTATGAGACTGCTGAGACAACATCCGTTCTACCTATTTTTCTGTCTCCATGAAAAATAAAATAAGTAATATATCCTTATTTGAAGAGGTTATTTTTCAATGTCTCCCGTATATGTCGCAAACCCAACACTGAACATTAGTAAGCGTATAAAACATACACATACACACACGTATATATTATATATAATATATATAGCCTTTTTCTATACATAAAAGCTATGATAAAATTTAATTGATAAATTGTGCACAGGTAAAGATTAAGAACACTAATGCTGAACTACATGTGTAATATCAAACAACATTGTATAATCAATGGTATATTAATGTGGTGTCCTTCTTTGAATGTTGCTAGGGTCTTCAGTACTTGGGGTCTCCTTTTACAGGTTATTTCTACATCCTTTCTCTCCTGGACAAAGAATTGAACAAAGCAAGCATAAAAGTGCCAATATTTCACATTTATTAAAGGTAGGAAAATAACAGAAGGGTAAGCGTTCAACAGGTTCTGCAGAGTTTGGCCTGAGGAAAACAGGAAAAAAAGTAAAAATAAAAATACGCCCCCTACAGAACAGATGGGCTACCCTGAAAAGGTATGATAATAAGTTCTAATGATGACTGTCCCTTTTTTACACTTCCACCCTCGTATCACATCTGGGTCATCCTGTCAAAAACTTACTCAAGTTCTTGCGAGACATTCCCAGGCAGGGCTGTGAGAATTGTTTTGTGACTGTGTTTTGAGATCTTGTCGTGCCTCTTTCCCCATTTAGTTTTAGCTACATTCTACATTGCTCCCTCATAAATGTCTGAGCTCCTGCCTGTAACTGGCATTGCAAATGGGAACTAAATAAGTTAGATTCTTTCTCCTTTGGGGTCAAGTTCCTTCCAAACTTCTTCAGGCCTAGGGCATACATGGCTCCCCCAGTTCCCCATTGGAGGAATGGACAGAATGTGGAAATCCTGGCAACAGAAGGTCAAGCCCAATTCCATGTACTTAGTCATGGGTGGAGGATGTCTGTTTCCAGTAAGGCATAGAACCAGCATGAAACTGTCTATCATTCCACTATATTCTCTTCCACACTGTTGCTTGATATAAAAAGACTCCAGCTCTCCTGTACTTGGTGAGATGGGAGCTTGAGGCAAATAGGCCACTCCATCTCTTTGGAGCTAGCATTGAATAAGTCTTTTTTTATCAAAAAGTATGGCCTTTCTTTATTATAGACAGCTAAGTTAGTCAAATATTAACATAAAGTCACAGAAAGATCAGGGTCTCAATCAAGTCAACACAAAAAAATAAAGACATAAGGACTGTGGCTAATTCAGGGATGGTGATGCACACCTCTAATCCCAGCACTTGGGAGGCTGAGCATGAAGATCACTGTGAGTTCAAGACCAACATGGGCTACCAAGTGAGTTCAAGGCCAGCCTAACCTGCACAGAGAGGCCCTGACTAAGAGAGAGAGAGAGAGAGAGGGAGAGAGGGAGAGAGGGAGGGAG